TATATATATGCTTTACGGACAGCCGATACTGTTTGGCCATTTCAAAGGTTATTGAGTTAAATATGAAAATGTTTTGGATATTTGCCTTTTTTTTTTTATTTTATTTACCACTGTCGTATACACTGTATTGTAGAGGTTTACGCTAATAGGGTGGGGAGGATTTACTTAAACAACGTTTATCGATCTGTACAAAATCATGTATTAAAAATTTACGTCATTTCTCTGACAACTTTACAATCGAGCATGACCCTATAATAATTATTCATCGAAAGTTTATACCTTGAGCGGACTTCGCTAACAACTGTAGATTTTAATCTACAGAAATTAATAATAAGCAATTTTGTGAAATATGTGGAGTTTGTCACAGAAAACTACTCCGAGCCATAACTTCTCCGAGTACGTAGACTATGAGACGTTACTCCGCGGAACATAACCATATCATTCATAGACGCAAACGATGTGGGCATCGAATCTGTAGGAATAATGTCGAAGTCGATTTTTTCCGTGTTTTAGTTTGGGTGCATCCAAATATATAAAACTGCTCAAAAAAGTTCGGAAAAGCATATACGAATGCAAAACATACATTTGGTTTGGGCTCGTCAGTCATGGCAATTGTATCTGGTGACCACACAAGGTTCCTCCATTCAGTAGCATAGATCGTATGTTAAAGAAGTACTCGATAGGTCAAAGATGCGGAACGATGGCGCCTGTTGAAAACAAGAATGCCAAACCAAGTAAAGTAGTCCTCACGTCGATTTCAATTGCTGCATGTACATCTATTTACATACAGCGGAAATAAACGCAGAGTTATTCTTCTTTGCTAGAAGTCCTGCATTGCCTTCCATTATCGTATCGGGTAACTGAAACGTCTTAGCTCTAAATCGCCAATCGAAGTCGCCGAAGATGCAGCTGTTGTTCGTCTCCTTTTTTGTTTTGCTTTGACGCACTGATTGCTGTGGTCCATATCTCTCGATAGAGGCACGGGGAATAATACAGCAGGAATATTTCAACAATGATGATGGTGGGGGGACCAGGAGCCGAAGAAGTCAAAGATAATGATGATGATTACGACGACGGTGGCGACAGCAACGACGAAACGACCAATCTAAATAGTTGCTTTCGTTTGCAGTTTTACCAGTCAAATGGAGGGGTTGCATAGTGCCGGTAGTGCTGGTGGCGGGGGCAGGGGTGCTAGGGCTACTAGAATGGTGAGCCTTTGGGGGCGCATCTTCAACATTTGTTCTTAACCCATTTCTATTGGAAACCCACTTCAGCGCGAGCTTCTTTCGCGATTCAGCCATACTTAATCATTTCTAGTTGCTGTAACTATTTGAATCAGCAGCTGCATTATAACAGCAGCTACCGCTGCTGCCGCTATCGAGCTTTAGCACCAACCAATTTCAGCCATAACCATAACAACTCAATGTACAGGGGATAACTTGATGGCACCCCACTTACTTGCGTGTGACCGCGCGTCCTAAGATGTGTCAAGACCTGGCAGTTTGACAGCAAACGGTAGAAAGGCGTTGATGGTGTGTGAGTGGAATGTTTCTTCTGCCGATAACTGGACTCGCGCGCCCAACGGAGTTGATCGGCGAATCGTCCTGGGCGGCCGTTCAATAAGAACTCCTGGACGCCGACAACATATCCGGCGACATAGGTTCCTCAACTGCAGCTATTGAAATGCGTACATTCACACAGACACATGTACATATACACACCCTACGAACGTAGACCTACACACACGAGGAATACTCATGCCAAACAGCAGCTAGTCTGACAATAAGACAGACGGACGCGGTTGGTTGTAGTAAAAGCAATAATAACGTGAGCCAGTTGGCAAAGTCTCCCTCCGTCTAGGCGAGTCAGTAGCGACTCGAGCCACATATCACGAGAAATGGAAGCTCCAGCAGCAGAAGTAGCTGCTGTTCCCGCCGTTGAACGACGACTTGAAAGCGCTAGCTATCACATATAATAGCAATACATGTGCAGTGGGCGAATCGAGGGGTTCGACAGTGGCTACGGTGACGACGAACTTCAGAAACTTCAGCTGATACATGTTAGTGGCCGGCTAGCTTGGTTGCTGCCGCTGCTACCGTTATAGCTCCAGCTTCGGCTGATGCTTCCTTGTGATGTCGTTGCTCTGGATTTGAATGTTGAAATCAATCTAAATGCTCAAGAGTGATGAGCCTACTCGTCGTCGTTGTGCTCCGGCCACAGTCAGGTGGTAGGCAGCCAGACGAATAGCTATGCAGATACGCGTGTGTAGGTGCTGCATTCGTCATTGGTATCAATGATGGCCCTCGCGATGGTAACAGCGTTGTCGACTTCACTCGACGACTTGGTCCAGCGAAGGTCAAGAGGTCGTGTCCGCGCGTATCATCTAGAGACAAACGGTTGAGCAGTTGGGGCGGAGCTACGGGTGCCCTGCATCCATCGTCACCGCTGCTGTTGATACTTTGCTGTTTCGACCACCATACTCATCGGGACGCACTTCAGGGCCCCCACCAATGCTGCCGCTGCTGCCGTTATCGTCGTTGTCGCCGCCACATTCCATATCACGATGGCGCTGCCGAGAACCACCAATACTGTCCAACTTTTGCTTCCTCTGCTGCTCCTGTGACTGCTGCTGGCGCTTTAACGTTCAGGGGTTGGTGGAAGGAAGATCCGACAAGTAATGCTGTTCGAGGCATCATAGGTGACCGTTGCCTCGATAGTAGTAAGCACAGCAGCGGCAGCATGAGCTGCAGGTGCCGCTGGTTTTGCTACGATTCGAGAGCCTGCCTCTGCCGCCGTCATAGCATCAAACACCATCGCGTACCCAGCATTGCATCGCAGTGCCCTGAGAGCCAAAAAAAATTGTAACGATGGAGCAAACGACGGGAAGAGAGTGATGCCATCACCTACTTTATTGTCGCTTGCGAGTCGCCTAGCACTGACAACTGAAACGGCACCGCAACAGCAGCATCATCGTACGATGCTGCTGCTGCTGCTGGTGAACGGACTGCACGCGGCAAGCAATGGTCGTCCAGTGCTCAAATCATCGTTGCTTGCCATCGACCCATCCACCCTTTTTCCAAGCCGCGCCGACCTTTTCTTCTTCTTGGACGCTGTCTTTACCCGACGACATCAGCATCAGCGAGCAGAACGAACAGTGGCACTGCAGCGCGCATTTACAATAGCAACACCATCCTCACCCCCCAATAACAGCAGCTGTAGCAGCAACTTACACCGTC